ATGGTCAAGCATGTTAACAAATAGGAACTTGAGTTTTAAAACTTGTTTTTATTAAATAATAATAAATAATTAATAATGTTTTTATAATACATACAAAAGTAAAGAATCATATATCTCTTAGGACTGGGGGTACTTACTTAGCATGTGTGAGGCCTAGAGTTTGATCCAAGCACAAAAATCACATACCTCTGAAACACTCTCAGTCTCTCTACCCACTTTGAGAATCATAAATCCCTGCCAAATTGCATTCCCTTTGCTCTCTCTACAGATAGCTACCAGCCTAAATTTGTCCTTCTTATTGCCTTGCTTTCCTTCATAATTTTGTCCCATATATTACATCTTTAGCCATTTATTTCCAGGTAAGTAGTATCACGACACGGGTACTTTAAGGGGACTCGTCTGCTTTCTCTCTCACCATCATGTTTCATGTAGCTGTAACTTCATTTTATTGCTGAAAGCATTCTTTTTTATGACTACAATGCATTTCTACAATCAATCCTCTATGAATACTTAACTTATTTAAAGGTTTCATCTATTACAAATAACGATGCTCCATTTATTTTCATGGACAAGTGCATAAGTTTCCTGGGGAAGTAGATTTCAAACATTTCTGGGTAGCAGACAAACTTTAGGGTAGACCCCATAATCTCCATCTGCTGATATTCAGGTATTTGTATAGTTTCCTCCACTTGAGAGACTTCATATTAACCAGTTGAATACGATAAAGTCTATGATATGAATAAGATTAACTACTATTATGGTTTATATATGAAATATTACCCATTGTTTCCTGTGTTGAATGTTTGGTCAGCTGGTGGTACTGTTTTGGGAGATAGTAGACACTTAGGATATGGGACCTAGCTAGAGAAAGTAGAGGTATATCTTTGAAGGTTATAGGTCCCTTTTTTCTCTATGCGTTCTGTCTTCTATCAGTGAGTAGCCTCTAGCACATGCTCCCACTGTCTGGATGTCCTGCCTCTCACGGTCCTGGAAACACAGAATCAAGTGATCATGGGCCGAACCTTTGAAATTGTGAGCCAAAATAAATCTTTCCTCTCTTAAATTGCTACTGTCGAGCATTGAGACAGAGCTGCACCAAAGTTAATAATAACACATATGCAAAATTGTAGCACTTGTTTTGATGGAGTCTTTCTTGTTCTCCTTCACTGGCTTTGAGGAATAAAATGGACACACTAGTCAACCTCACATGAAAATGAACTGAGGCTGACCTACAAGAGCAGATGGTGGCTCCTGGATAAAAGTCATTAAGAAAAGAATGTCAAGACTTCGTGGGTGTAGTTTCCCTGACAGTTCTAGGAGAGGTGATCTCACAGCAGAATCCCTTGGCTCTTACAATGGCTCTTACAATCTTTGTGTCCTCCCTTCTGGAATCTTCCCTGAAGGAATGCTGAGAGCCAGAGAGATAGTCTTCCTCAGGAAAGAGCTCCCAAATGGTTATTCAATATCAAGTGATCAGCCCTGAAATCATCTACATACAAGTAACATTATACAGACTGAGAAGGTTGTACTTATATATTTAGGAACATATACACATGCACACATACATATATACATATATCTTTTAAGTGATTACTTTTTAAGTGATCCACGGACCTGAACATTATGTGTCTTTTAGCAACTAAATCATCATAGTAACCCCTAAATAGGTTAAAACTGCTATGATTTATATGGTGAATGACTGTTATATGACTTTTCCTGGGGAAACATGATGAAGCATCTTCTGTGGAGGGGCCCCAAAACAGCTTGACCACATAGCAGCCATGACAGGCTTAGGGGCCTAGACACAGCTTCTGTGACAGGCTTACTGGCAGACAACACCCAGATCCAGGAAAAGCCTTAAGCTGATACCACCTAGGGATCCACCCAGGGATGAGGAAGTACCTGACATCCCAAACATTCCAACCATTAGATAAGGTGGCCAGATGTCCTTGAGTCTAGCACACACCTATTTTTTGTTTTATAGATACCTCTAGACAATTGTCAGCCAATCAGGGTCCTGGACTCTGCAAATCCCCCTCACCCCAACCTCTGCTACGATAAAAAAAAAAAACCCACCCCACCTGAGCTCGGGGCTCTCTTCTCTCACCACTGTGTCGGACAGACAGAGGGACCAAGGTTGGAGCTTGAAATAAAGGCTCTTTGCTTTTACATGTGGGATTCAGTCTCTGTGGTGGTCTTTTGGGGGTCCCCATGATCTGGGCATAACACTTCATCCCAGAAAGGTCATTGATGGCACACTGAACAAATGATTCTGCCCAAGTCTAGCTTAATGAATCAGTGAGTGGGGTTAATTACAGGAGTATGGATTAAAGATACCTCACAGGACATGCACAGTGGCTGAAAAATGTATCACAGAAAAGCCCATCCTAGTATGGGTGGTGATTCATAAAATCTTTATCCTTGGCGCTCACTGTACAACTTTCAGGCAGCTTGGCTAGTGGAGCATCTTTTCTCCCCAGCAATTGCTTACTGAACCTTTGGGGAATGCTCTTACGAATCTAAGTTTCAAGTGCTTCCTGAGTCTTACAAGTTTCTTTTGCTTCCTAAGACTCGTGATCCTCCCTCCTTTCTCTGGAAGAGAAATAACTACAACTTTGTTTTAAAGGCTTGGTCTCCAGAATGATACCCAATTGGGAAGTGATAAAACATTTGAGAGGTAGGAGTTTATGTGAGGTTCTTAGATCATTGAGGATATAAGCCTAATGGGAATTTCTTTTTTTTCTTCTTTTTTTTTTTTTTTTTTTTAGGGAATAAGAAAGTACCCCAAGAGTACTTTTTTTTTTTTTTTGGTTTTTTTGAGACAGGGTTTCTCTGTGTAGTTTTGCGCCTTTCCTGGAACTCACTTTGTAGCCCAGGCTGACCTCGAATTCAGAAATCCGCCTGCCTCTGCCTCCCAAGTGCTGGGATTAAAGGTGTGCGCCACCACCGCCTGGCTTTTTTTTTTAATTAAGAGATTTTCTATTCATTTTACATACCAACCACAGATTCCCCTTGTCCTCCCTCCTCCTGCCCCCCAGCCTCCCCACCCCCACCCCACCCCACATCCCCACCTCCTCCAAGGCAAGGTCTCCCATGGGGAGTCAGCTCAGCCTGGTACATTCAGTTGAGGCAGGTCCAAGCCCTTCCTCCCTGCACCAAGGCTGTGCAAAGTGTCTCAGCATAGGCACTGGGCTCCAAAAAGCCGGCTCATGCACCAGGGACAGGTCCGGATCCCACTGCCTGGGAATTTCTTAACCCTGTCTTATCTCTTTCTTCTGCTTCCTGGCTGCTGATATAAGATACAATAAGATATAAGATAAAAGAAGTTTGGCGTGTTGGTCCAAAGCAACAAGTCAAACAGTCTGGGATTAGAACTTCCAGAACCACTAATAAAATATTCCTTTACTCTGTGTAAATTAATTTTATCTGGGACTTTGTTACAAAAGTGTGAAGCTGACTAACACACAAGATTTGGATTACAGAATTGAAGAAGATGGTAATTCATTTCTGAGTAGTTTTTTAAAAGTGATGGCCTGTTTTGCACATATGAATACTTTCAAAGTTAGTTTTCAAGCTTCACTATATAAAATTTTCCCCACAATATTTTTAAAAAGGCCTACTCTAAACTTTTATGTGCACAATTGTTTTGAAACTAGAAAGATTGGGCACTCAGTTGAAAAGATTAAAAGATTGTTCATGTAGATCTCATTCATTCCTCTGTCATTGGGCGATCCCTGTGTGTTTCTTGGGGTCCTGTTTTCCAGGTAGCCTCCCTGGTGATGTGAGTAGCAGTCCAGTCATCCTTGTTCCACATCTAGTATCCTCCTATGAGTGAGTACATACCATGTTTGTCTTTCTGAGTCTGGGTTACCTCACTCAGGATGATTTTTTTCTAGATCCATCTATTTGCCTGCAAACCTCATGATGTCATTGTTTTTCTCTGCTGAGTAGTATTCCATTGTGCATATGTATCACATTTTATTTATCCATTCTTCAGTTGAAGGGCATCTAGGTTGTTTCCAGGTTCTGGCTATTACAAATAATGCTGATATGAACATAGTTGAGAAAATACCCTTGTGGTATGAGTGGGGGTAATGAAGGGCAAGGGTCAAGGGAAAGAGAGCTTAGGGGAGTGGGAGATCCCAGCTGGATCAAGAACAGAAAGGGAGAACAAGGAATAGGAGAACATGGTAAATGAAGACCACATGAGAATAGGAAGAAGCAAAGTGCTAGAGAGGTCCCCAGAAATCCACAACGATACCTCCACAATAGACTATTGGGAATGGTCAAGAGAGTGCCTGAGATGACCTACTCTGGTTATCGGATGGCCAAACACCCTAATTGTCATGCTGGAAACCTCATCCAATGACTAAGGGAACCGGATGCAGAGATCCACGGCCTCAGGTGGAGCTCCAGGAGTCCAATTGGCGAGAAAGAGGAGGGTTTGTATGAGTGAGAATTGTTGAAACCAAGGTTGGAAAAAGCACAGGGACAAATAGTCAAACAAATGGAAACACATGAACTATGAACCAATGGCTGAGGGGTCACCAACTGGATGAGGCCCTCTGGATAAGTGAGACAGTTGATTAGCTTGATCTGTTTGGGAGGCATTCAGGCAGTGAGACCAGGACCTGTCCTCAGAGCATGTGCTGGCTGTTTGGAACCTGGGGCTTATACAGGGACACTTGGCTCAGCCTGGGAGGAGGGGACTGGACCTGCCTGGACTGAATCTACCAAGTTGAACTCAATCCTCAGGGGAGTCTTTGCCCTGGAGGAGATGGGAATGGGGGGTGGGCTGGGGGGAAGGCGGGAGGGGGGGAGAACAAGGGAATTTGTGGCTGATATGTAAAATTAAATTAAATTATAAAATAAAATTTAAAAAAAGAAAAGATTAAAAGAAACAATACATATACTGTAGCTGAAATAAAATTATATTTACAGCAAGACTCATGCAAATCTAATGAATACATAAATAGCCCATATTGACAGTAGTAATTATTTCAAAGCAAATGAGGTTCCTGTGTTGTTTGTTTTCAGAAAGAGTCTCCTGTATATAGTGTAGTCTGGAACTCACCATGTGGCCAAGGCTATCCTAGAAGTTGTAGCAATCCTTCTGCCTCAACCTCTCTGGTGTTATTGCAGGTGTGAACTACTTCCCCCAGAAATCCAGAGGAGCTCTAACATGATTTGAACAAAACTAGAAATGTTGTAAGACTATACAATACCAAAGTCAAGACAGCCTTTGGGAAAATGTGATAGCTGATTACAATGTTATCCTTATAAACCCCTTGTCCAGAATGAGTTCCTTATCTTTATCCTTTGTACTCATAGTGTACAATTGTTGAAATTCATTTGATTGGTTAGACTTTTTTTTCAATTCCCTTCTTTATATTACCATTTCCTCTCCTACCATTACCTTATTTGTGACTATGGCCACAGAACTTGCCTTGTAATTCTTAAAATCACGTTGCTCTTCTGTACCAGACTTTTTGTGACTTGTATATCTAGCAATTATGTTTCATGCTCCTCTTGAAGGCTGGCTAAATGATGTTGAAATGTAGATTTCTAAACTTTATGATAATTGTAAGGGACCTCATACAACTTAAAAGAAAGTATGCAAATACAAAACATGCCATTTCCCTTTAATGGACATTATGTGTTCTTTCATTCATTCACTCAGAACATTTGAATAGTAAGGTACCGTAACATTTAAAAAGCACTGTAACTGGTGCGAAAATGAAATGTCACAGTAATGAATCATTGTCCTTAAAGAATTCAAACTTCAGCAAAGGGCATAGAAATGTAAACAAATAATGAAAAGCAGAATAAGAGATATACCAAATAGAAGAATAAAGAAATTGAGTTGGTGAGAGAGAAGAATACCATTCTGACCGAGAGCCAGGGACACAGATTACAGAAAATATGACATAAAAAGTAGTTGAACTGAATCTGGAAGGATAGAATCCAATGTGAGAAGGGAAGGGGCATTCCAGGTTAATGAACCTGAAAGGTGCACCTACAAGAATGCTTTGCAATGCACTAAAAGGAATGTAGTGGCAGGCAAGGCTGTAAAGATAGGACAAGTTACGATTATGGCAGTCTGATAGTTGTATTAATAAGATTAACACTTACTAGCTCTTATGCTGTAATAAACATACAGCATGCTCATGTGAGATTTATGGGGTAGATATTTCATGGAGAGTGAAACAAAGTTCAGAGAGGTTAGCTTTATGTCTAACAAGGAGGAAGTAGTCCAGCAGACATTCAGACCCAGATCTGCTTTATTCACAGGTCTGTGCTTTTAACCTGCTACTTCAGGATATTGGAGTTTATTTTGCAAAAAATGAAAAATAAAAGGTCATCTGAAGAGAATAACTATGATTTAACTTTGTGTTAGGTCACTAACTGGTAACAGTGAGAAGGATGAGTTGGGAAAAGGATACTAAAGAAAAAGAAAGAAATCTGTTAGTAAGCTGGGGAAACAGTTTAGTTAAAAGATAATGAGGGACCAGGAAAGGGTAGCAATGAGGGAAATGAGGAGGAGAGGACAGATTGAGTATTGTGGGGGTAGATTGGAGAGGATTTGGTGATTGCTCCAATGGGAAATACGAAAGTAAGGAGATTGCTAATCATGATGACTGGGAAGATGGCAGTAGACTTAAACAAGAGGAATAGGCCATCGGGTGCATGGATGAGAAGGGCAGAAAAAGGCAGTGAGTATCATCTGGAACATGTTGCAGTTGAGGGTCTGGCAGACCACATAGACAGATATTGGCACCTGAAGTCAAGGAACCATTTTTAAAGTTCTTTATCTAAAAATATACACGGTTGCAGAATTTCAGTCCTAAAAATGTCTTCATTTAAGTCAATGTAACAGCTCATTCATTTTCCTTGGCATTTTAAACCACAAAGAGCTACTGTGTCATGACTGCCACTATCTAAAGGGCCCAATATACATCAACTGCAAAGTGCATACAAATGATTTCAGTGTCACATAATCCTTGTTATAATTCCTAGTGTCCGGTATCATTGCTCAAATGTTGGCAAGGATATTGATGATAATGAGTTTGAATTTTAATATATGCAAGGGTTTTAGGAGGAAGCTTTTCATTAAACATATTCAGTAGTAGTAGCTACAAAATATTACTTGAAGTCCCTCCCACACTGATCTTTACTGAAATACCTTCCTTAAAGATATTATACATAGTAGTTGGAAATGTCTGTATTTAATACAATTTAACACAAAGGAAGATCACCTAGATAAAATAATGTACAATAAATTTGAGGAAAATAAATACCTCTGACTGAGATAAACATGGAGAATTTTGATGATCAAGAAAGAACCTTGAATTAATAGAATAAAATAGATTTCCCATGTAAATGAATAAAGGCACATCATTCTATACTACAAATTAACCCTTGGGGCCTGGCATGGTGACTGATGCCTTTAATCTCAGCAGTATAGAGAGAGAACCTGTCTCAAAAAAAGAAAGAACAACAACAACAACAACAAAAAGAACATAAAAGTGAACAAGAGTTGTAAATAAGGATTTCAGAAAAGAATATATCAATTATGGATACATATGTAAAAGTGCTCAATTTCATACAGTTCAAATTTAAAAAGAAAAATTTGAAGTGTGGAGATATCATCATACAACAGAACATTCCAAGTAAAAAGGATGTCCAAGATTATGTACTAATGAGGATATGTGAGTCAGAAATTGTACTTCTAGGTCTATTCAAAACAGAAATGAATGTGTATGCACACCAAGAGATTATTCACAAGAACCCCAAATGTTCATTTTTAAGAAGATGGAGAAACATATGAGGCATATTTATACAAAGGAATACTACATGCTAATAAAAATATATAATAAAATTATGTATAACCATCTGGATTTACTTCACAAACAGAATGTTGGCAAAAATACTAAATGTAACAAAAATAAGAATAAAATTTAAAAAATACATGTTATTCAGGTATAGTCTTCTAGCACCTAAGAAGATAAGGCAGGAAAATCATGTATTTAAAGCCAGACTGGATTATATCATGAGGCCTTGTCTCAAAAAACAAAATACTGGATAGGGCCCATAAGATGACTCAGTTATTAAAAGCACAAGCTGCCAAGCCTGCTGATTTGAGGCCAATCTCTTCCACACGGTAGAAAGAATCAACTCTCATACGTTGTCCTCTGGCCTTCACACATGCACCATGGCACAGGTCACCTTCATCCACACCTAAACAAACAAACAAACAAACAAACAAACAAATAAATCAAGTGTAAAAAGGATACTGGATACCGAAAAATCTCTGTGTGAATCCATGTGCTGGCTAGTTTTTAAGTCAACTTGACACAAGCTAGTGGCATGTGAAAGGAGGGAATCTCAATTGGGAAAAGAACTCCATAAAATTCAGTTGCAGGGCATTTTCTTAATTAGTGATTGATGGGCAAGCATCCAGCCTATTGTGGGTGGTACCATATCTGGGCTGTTGGTCCTAGGTTCAATAAGAAAGCAGGCTGAGCAAGCCATGGGCATAAGCTTGCTCACAGGACCTCTTCCATGGCCTCTGCATCAGCTCCTGCCTTCAGGTTCCTGCCCTGTTTGAGTTCCTGCCCTGACTTCCTTCAGCGATGGATTAGAATGTGGAAGTGTAAGCCGAATAAACTCTTTCCTCCCCAACTCACTCTTGGTCATGGTGTTTCATCATAGCAATATGTCCTAAGTAATATTGTTCTGGTGGAAGCTCCACCTCAGCCCCTGGCATCCATATACCCAAAGAGTCTGGAATGTTCTGGTGGAAGGTCCACCTCAACTCCCCTACCCCATCTCTTTCCCCAAACCCGCCCCCTCAAAGCCCACCAAACATGACTCCTCCCCAGAGATGCTCAAGACCACTCAGATAGGGTATTTAAACTGCATCCCAGAAAACAGAACCATGGTTTTTCAGTCTCTCGTCCCAGTCTTCTCTCTGGTGGGCTGGAGAATCACCCAGGAACGCTTTACTTGGTTTTCTGGTCTCTTCTCTCTCGGGGGCTGAAGGGAGCACTTTACCCATTGAACCGGAGCTTTTTCTAATTCAGTCTGATGTGGTCTGATTTGGCTTGCTGTGTCGGCAGAGAGGCTTATTGGGGTGCAAAACCTTTCAGAGATATGTCCTAACTATTTAGGACATCAAGTCCTAAAAAGGACAGTCCACTAAAAAAAATTGAAAGTAAGGGAATGAATAAAGAAAGGATTGAAAGGGTTTCTTCATTTTCTATGGGCTTCTAGGTATTGTAAATGCTCAGATTCTTTTCATATGACTGACAACTGCTTGGGATATGTTTACTTTTAAAAAAATCACAAAACTTCTCACTTTGATTTCATCCTTTTGACTTGATTATGTTTTCTTTGTGGAGTCCTCTAACACCAAGTCATGCTCACACATTGACTTGAATTATTACCCTGTATCATAGAAGAAATAAAAAGAAAAATAAGAGAGGAAAGAGGGTGAAATCAGTTAAGGTTGGGATATACCAGACATACATACATTCCTTAAATAGCAAGGTGCTTAAATCGTTTTCCAGGAGAAGCCTCCAGAATCTCAGGACAGTTTGGAACTGACTTTTCTTTTCTTTCTTTCTTTCTCTCTTTCTTTCTTTCTTTCTTTCTTTCTTTCTTTCTTTCTTTCTTTCTTTCTTTCTTTCTTTCTTTCTTCTTTCTCTCTCTCTCTCTCTTTCTTCCTTCTTTCTTTCTTTCTTTTGACTGTCAGCATCCTTAAAATCCTTTTTTATTATTTTATTTTATTTTTTTTTTCATATGTAATGTTCATTTATTTACATTAAGTTTTTACTTAGATTTACATTTCTTTGTAAAAAATAATTTGTAAAAAAACTGGCATTAGTCATATATGCATACATTAAGACACTAGCTATAGAAAACTATTAAATTGAATTGAAAAATTAATTGAAGACATTTATATCTGTTTAATTTGTCCTGAGAAGTCAAAACACAGGAGGTACAGTTATCACAAAAGGGGGCAGATGGAGTTAAAACATGATATTAGCCTTTTTCCTAACCCTTGACAACAACTTGTAACCAACCCCCCTAATCAATGAAAATTATCCCAGACCCAAAACCCATTAAAAGACCAAAAAAACAAAAAAAAAAATTGCAACAAAAATTAAAATAGAAATCTTTAAACCTATATTTTCCCCATGATATTAAAATTCACATTTTAAATATTCATATAAATACTTTCTGCAGTTTTTGGTTGGTTGCTGTATTTTCAGTCTCTCAGTAGGCAGATTTTATATAAGAACAAAGCTTTTGTCACAATTACACCAACATAAGTATATTGCAGTGAGAAAATCAACATTAAATTATCTTAACGTCCACCAACACTTACTTTACTTACTGTCTTCATTTGAGTCTACCACTGCTACTAATTATTTTAGAGACATTTGAGTCAGCTATTTGATTTTGTTTATATCATGTTTTATTATTTTATTTTAATTGTTTTATTCATTTTACATACCAACCACAGATCCCCCTCTCATCCCTCCTCCCACCCCCCCCCCCCATCCCTCCCCTCCTCATCCCCTTCTCCAAAAAGGTAAGTTCTCCCATTGGGGGACAGCTAAGCCTGGTGTATTCAATTGAGGGAGGACCAAGCCCCTCCCTGCTGCATCATGGGTGAGCAAGGTGTCCAGTCATAGGTAATGGGATCCAGGAAGCCAGCTCATGCACCAGGGATAGATCCTGCTTGATAGAGGAAGACATTATGGGGTTAGGGAGAAACCTGGTGCTAGGAAAATTCCCAGGAATCCACAAGGATGACCCCAGATTAGACTACTAGCAATAGTGGTGAGGGGGCCTGAACTGGCCTACCCTGGTAAGCTGATTGGTGAATACCCTAACTGTCATCATACAGCCTTCATCCAGTAACTGATGGAAGCAGGTGCAGAGATTCACAATCAAGCATCAGGCCGAGCTCTGGGAGTAAAGTCCAAGAGAGGGAAGAGGGATTATAGGGGGGGAGGGGGGTCAAGATCATGACGGGGAAATCTACAGAGACAACTGAACCAAGCTCATAGGAACTCACAAACTTTGGATCAACAGCTGTGTCTGTTTGAGGGGCCCATGGCAGTGTGATCAGGATCTATTCCTGGTGCATGAGCTGGCTTTCTGGAACTGACATTTCAAGAAGGAACAAACACACAAGAAGACAGCTTGTTCAGACAATGACCTTGTGACACTCAAGTTCAAATATTCTCGAGTGTCAATATTGTGGAACAGAAACATGTAACCCATGAAGAAGCATGAGCCTGAAACTTCCTGTTCTTACTGTCCAATTAACAAGAAGCACCTCCCATTCCTTCTCTGTAAATGCCCACATAGTAACAGACCAGAGAAAATGAGTTGGAGATTTTTGTTTGTTTCCCTGCTTGTGGCTTTCTCAAGTTTGCCTTGCAATGAAGTTCTTTCTTTTTGTGAGGACTAAGTGCCACAGTATTGACCTCACTCAGTATCAAATGCTACGTATTGAGTAGAGAATCTGAAGTGGGAAATGGAGTGGTTTTGAAGAATGGGGCATCAAACTCTCTTATCATGTAACCACCTTCACTCTGAAGAAGGTTGTAATACTCTTCCAGGCTTCCTCTTCTCTAGCAAATGTTAGAGACAAACGGCCAAATTTGAGCTCCCCAACACTATCCCTACTGAACAGAAAGTCTGATGTTCTGTTATCACACTATCATTCTTCTCAAATGCAATCTCTCCTCAGAGAAATTGACAAATAGGGAGGAGGCAAGGAGGAAATTTAAATATAGAGAGAATGGAAATGTCTCAAATATCACATGAGTGGTGTGGAGTACATACTGTTCTTCCAGAGAACCCGAGTTCAATGCCCAGCACCTAGAACAATCAGCTTGCAATCACCTGAAACTCCAGTTCCAGGAAGATCTGATACTTCTGATCTCTGCAGGCACCTGCACTCACACACACATACCTCCCCCTGCTGCACACAATTCAAAATAAAAATAAGTTTTAAAAATCATATGAAGCCAGGCGGTGGTGGCACATGCCTGTAATCCCAGCACTCGGGAGGCAGAGACAGGTGGATCTCTGTGAGTTTGAGACCAGCCTGGTCTACAGAGCTAGTCCAGAACAGGCTCCAAAACTACAGAGAAACCCTGTCTCAAAAAAACCAAAAAAAAAATCATATGAAGGCCCTTGATGACTGAGGAGCAGAAACATGCAACCCATGAAGAAGTATGAGCCTAAAACTTTCTGTTCTTACCATCCAATCAACAAGAAGCACATCCCATTTCTTTTCTGTAAATGCCCACATAGTAATGAATGTAGAATGGCTAGTATGCTCAAAGTTCTGGGTTCGATCCCCAATACTATATAATCTTCATGTTGTGGCACATGAGTATAAGCTCAGCACTTAGTAGGTAGAGAATCAGAAGTTCAAGATCATTCTTGGCTACATACCAAGTTGAGGCCAACCTGAGCTACAAGAGACTGTCTCAAAAAAATATCACACTCAAAAGGCAGAGACAGGGGGATTTCTGTGAGTTGGAAGCCAATCTGGTCTATATAGCAAGATTCAGGCCAGTCAGCATTACATAATGAGAACCCCCATCTAAAAAGTCATGTTATTTAAAAATTGTAGCTGGGCAGTGGTGGCACACACCTTTAATCTCAATTAAAAATCCCTTTAGTTGCCTTCAGCACTCGGGAGGCAAGTCAGGAGGATCTCTGTGAGTTCGAGGCCAGCCTGGTCTACAGAGTGAGATTTGGGACAGACCAAAACTACACAGAGAAACCCTGTTTGGCCGGGCAGTGTTGGTGCACGCCTTTAATCCCAGCACTCGGGAGGCAGAGGCAGGTGGATCTTTGTGAGTTCAAGGCCAGCCTGGTCTACAGAGCGAGATCCAGGAAAGGCACAAAGCTACACAGAGAAACCCTGTCTCGAAAAACCAAAAAAAAATTGTATTTACTTTGTGTGTGTATATGTGTGCTCACAGCATGTATGTGGACATTTTTTTTGGGGGGGGGAGTTGATGATGCCTTCCCCATGTTGAGGCAGAGTTTCTCTTCTTTCTGCTGCTGCTCTGCATACTCTAGCACATAATCTATGAGTGTCTGCCTTCCATCTCACTATAGGAATGCTGGATTACAGATGGCTTTTTACATGGGTTCCAGGGAGAGAACTTGGGTGATTAAACTTCACGGCTAGCACCTTTACCCATTAAGTCATCTCTTTGGACTCAGAGTATTTTCAGGTATTACAAACCATGAGTACAAAAGTGAGGAAAATGATATGAAGTTCATTCTGGTCAAAATTAGTTAGGCTTAATTAGAAATGTAATGGGGCATGTTTGGCTTGACTATCATAGAAATGAAATGGTGGACTAGCAGTGAGGACTGAAGGCAGGCCCAGTAATGGTCCTAACGAACTCTGCTATATTACTGATTCCATCTTATTTCCTTTCTTTTCCTTCCTTTGGAGCTTTCTGAAGTCTTTTCACCATGTAGTCATCTTGGGTCCAAGCAACAATGGACATGATTGATGAACATCATAAAACAAAAGATCAAAACTGCCCCTAACCAAGCAGAGACTTTCTAAGTACAATTAGCTATGCCTAGCTCATTGTGCAATGATGGCCTGCAGTAATGATTAGCCAGATCATGCCCAGACCAGGATGAGCTACTGCTATGAACTACTACTATGAAAGCTTCCAATCTTTGCTTTTGTTTCTTTCTTCTCTATAACACTGAGACTGTTGTAAGCACTTTGAAGACAGAATTTAATTCAGTAAGTGTAGCTGGAAGTTTTCCTGTGTCCCACCCAGTCCTGCAGCCACTCAGACCCAAGTAAACACACAGAGGCTTATGTCAATTATGAATTGCATGGCCATAATGGAAAGATATATGGAAACTGGACATTTGGAACCATTGTTTTTTTTTTCTTATAAAGGAAAGGAACCATTGTTTTTTTACAGTCTTAGTATTCACTGTAACTCTGAGCCAGTTGCCTTGAAACCATTCTGGATGTTGGATTATCTGGGCCATGGTGTCATTGGAGACCTTTCAGGGGGTCTTGGGTGATCAAACCATATTAGCATGGAATCAATCCACAGGTTCTCATCTTCTGTGGAAACAAAAGTAGAACCTCTTTTCCAAAGCAACAACATATCCTTAGACATAAACTTTAAAGTCAAGATACCTTTAATATACATATGTGTGTGTGTGTGTGTGTGTGTGTGTGTGTGTGTGTGTGTGTGTGTGTGTGTATTGGCTTAACTCAGCAGCCTTTATAATCAAATGTCTTTCTACAGTTAAAAATCCCAAAGACAATATAATCCAGACTCTGTGTGTGATTTCCATCTTTACATGGCTTATTTTTTATATTATTCTTATTGTCTCTTTAAAGACTTTATTTTTAAAAACTATTT